CAATTAGTTCAGGATCGTTGTCTTCGTATAGGGTAGTCCTCTGCTGTCAATATCTGAAGCTCTATGCTGACAATGATCGAACACTGCTGATGTCGTGCTTTTGTCCATGTGGATGCAGGCGAAGGGACTTTCGGATAGCAGCTGAGAGCATGAGGAGTCTCTAAGATACAAGCCAGCCGATCCTTCGCATCAAGAACTTGCTTGCATCGATAAGTGATCCACTGCAGTCCAGGTCGCTCTTCTTGTCGTGCTCTAGCTTTGGTTTCCGCCTTTAACGTCGTATGGGCCTTCGACCAGGGCGATCACCGTGGAAAAGAACTGAACTGAGATCTTGACCTTATCTCTGACTTCATCCAGCAAGTGTTGGTGTTTTGTAAGTCCAGTGTCCCATCCACATCGATGGTCTAGGGGAAATCCCTCGTTCAGCTGCAAACGAAGAGGGGCCAGTGAAGGCCGGGCTGATCCCGAGCAATAGTCTTGAATGTCCAAGCTGTGGCCTACCTCGTTGTTACTCATAGTTGGAAGAACATGGTGCAGCCATTGCAAAGCATTCGTTGGCGTGACTATTGGAAGAGAGCTGTAAACATAAGTCTTTTCAGGAATGCTGACGTAGTATTTAGATGCACCCGTCTTGCGCTTCGTATTCCAGTGCTGTGGCCAAACGTCTCTGTAGTGTAAGACTGACCAGGAAAGTTCATCCAAGTTCACAAGAATTGTTTGAGATATTCCGTTCCATGCAGAAGCCGTCTCTAGGATCTTCGCCTTGCTATGCAAAACTCCAGCTGCCTGTGTCGGTGTCGGCAGCGATGTAATAGTCGATGATGTCGTCGCTGTTGACGTAAGCGTTGGCGTTGATGTCGGCATGACTGGAGGCTCTCGAATCTGTTCTGATGCTATCTGTCGTGCAGGATGAGCCTTGCCAGACGCTGAGGCATTCATATTTGTCTCCGAGTCCGATGGTTGATCAGGACTACTTTCACCCTCTTGGCCTGACGTCATGGACAACAACGTCAGGGAGCCAGCGTTCATGCCAGATGTCTTCTTCGTGCCAGCCTTGCCAGCCGGCGCTCGCAGCGCATCGTTGAAGTCGTCGGATACCGTCTTCCTCAGCATGTTCTGCTCTGCCCAAGAATCTTGCTCGAAATTGCTGACCGGCAGCAGGCAGTGACGGGAATCCGTCAAGTAGAGCTTGATGCAGAAAGTCCGAGGTACTGCTTTCATTCAAGGATCGTGTCCAGATGCCCCCCAGGATACGGACGATCATGACGCCATCGCCTTCTTGAAGTACCCCGCACAGCACTGGACGCTTGAAGACGAAGCGAGCAACTCGACGATAGAAGCACTGGACGCTTCGAGCCCAAGTCGCCCAAGAGGTCCAGGTCGATATACTCCAGATTTCGTAATAAAAGGAATGGGGTCTGGACCCTCCAAGACAAGCCATTTCAGACCTCCCCCGTGGGAGAACCCTCCAAAACATCGTCCCCAGACCCCCCCAGGCCCTCCAAGATAGCCTGGAAGAGACCCCCCACGAAATGAGACCCCCCTCCCTTTATTACGAAATCTGGAGTACACTTCAGCAACGCCTGGAAGGAGAATGCCCAACGGGTGTGTCAGCCAAGCCTTTGCTTTTCTCTTCCGCCGATGCCTGTGAACTTGCTCTCTGGCGGGCGCACACTGACGACCCTGCCGTTCTTCGAGAGGATGCCTGCGATGTAGTATTTCATGGTGTCTCTCCCCAGGATGGCGTTCGCCGCGCCTGTCTCGACGAGCATCCCGTGCATGGGGCGGCCTCGCACCAGGTGGAAATTCTGGGAGCCAGAGATGTTCTCATAACGGACTTTGTTGTAGTGCCAGCTTGGCACCGGACGACTGATCGGAAGCACGACTTGCTCATGGGATGCAAAGACCGAGAACGTCGTCGCTGTGAAGAGTGCCGTCCGCGCCAGGCCGCTTCCTCCTCTAAACTGTCGTGATGCTGCCGTCGTTGAGGTAGGTGAGGAGACACTTTGAGCCTCGAGGTCTTCTGGACCCTCGGTGCCCATGTCCTGCATCTGCCGCCGTCGATTCAAGAGACTATCTAAACTGAGCTCTGGAAGAAGCCTTGATGTCGACAACGCACTTAGGACGCCGCTGGCGCTGCTTGGGTCGGCCCTTCTCTTGCTGGCATAAGATAGCCTTGAGGAGCGAGACCAGGCCACTGTCCTGAGGTTGATGTGTTCCTCGGCGGAGTCGGCTCACTGCTGTTGGTGCCAATGGTCTCCCAAGTATCGTTCGTCTTGAAAGCCGTCAGCGTGCCCAGTGCAGGATGCTGGGCAGGATGCCCATTGGCATGCTCATACCATGTGTCTCCCGTTGATTGCTGATAGTAGCCATAGGTTCCGTCGCCTTCATACCAAGAAGTGTCGCCGAACTCGCTCTCGTCAAATTGGCACTCGTGGTCTACCGAAGCCTGGCCGTCTTCCAGAAGAAAGGTTCCACCACAGCGATATCGATGACTTTTGTTCTTGCCTTTGTCGGGTTGAAGCCTTTGACTTTACCTTTCCGATACTCTTCTGAGTTGGACGATATGTTCTTTTTTTTCTTTCCGATAGCTGCATTTCTTGCCACTGCTGCCGTAGTTTGTCGCATACCTGTCTTTGCCTTTTCCTTTGCTGTTTTTACCTTTGCCGTTGGACGGCTAATGATCGTGTCCATGACTTGACGAGCCTCCAGGAAGAGTGCCACTGAGATCCGCAGTTTGTGCATCTTTAGGAACTTGATGATTGCCTTTGTCCCACAAGTCTCCGTTTTCTTGGGCTTCGATTCTTGCTGAGGCTGTTTTGGATCTTCCCAAGAGTAGGACTCGTCCCAGTAATATCCTTTGCGTGCATGTCTTTCCCCATCGGTCTAGAGGTCAGGCCGTCGATGCTAATCGCTTCCGTGGGTTTTTGGGCTCAAGAATTCGCATCCAGGCAGTGCGAATGGATTTCCTCTGGCCCGCAGCCCAATACGCGTGGCAGGGGGCTCTTGCATATCTCTGGGGCTGCAATTTGCAGCGCTGCCCTTCGATCACGATCCCGGCGTGCCCGGGGTTCCCTGGCTGCGCGGCCTGCCCGCCCTGCCCAGGCTGCCCGGCGTGCCCGGGAGGACGGCCGGCGCCTGCCAACCCGGCGCCGCCGGCGGAGCAGGAGGCCGGGGCCGACACCGTGTCGTACTCGTTCTGGCTGGTGGTGCTGGTGAACGAGCTGCTGTTCCTGGGCCTCATCGCCTGGTACGTGTACGGCTCGTGGGGCGGCGCGTGGCTGGCCTGCAAGCGTCGTCATGATGGCGGGGGCGATCGTGGCCCCAGCAGTGGCAGCAGCGCCGGAGATGCAGCAGTGGGCGTGGGTTCGCTACGACGGCGAGCCATTATGGCACCAGCGGCTGATCTTGGGGCGTCAGGCGAGAGTGCCAGCTGAGGTCGTGTCGCCGTTCGTCGTGCTGATCTGTACCGTGGACACGGACATCTACGAGGAGGACTACACGTGCGACGGCAGCGACATCATCGCCGTGCGCTACGCCGGCACTCGAGCGACCTTCCCGCCCGGGATTCGAGGTGGGAATTCACACCGCTTCAGGCGGGACTTGACGATGCAGGAGCAGCAGCAGATCGACCAGGCGGCCTTGGACTACTGCAGGGCGGCGCTGGCGGCCGATCATCATCGCCTTGGACTGGGAGCGCCGGCGGGGCCCTTCCTCATCCCGCTGACCTTCGGTCAGGGCGGCCTGGCTGCCCCGGCGGAGGCAGGTGAGGTGGCGGCGGTGGTGGCCCCGGGGGCGCAGGCTGCTGCTCTGGTTGCCGCTGGTGGAGGACCTGGCGGTGCCGTCGGAGGAGCGGCTGCGGCCGGAGCAGGTGCTGCTGGCGGAGCCGCCGCTCCTGCGGGGGCGGGCGTTGCCGCTGCGGCCATGTGGGTGCTGGTCGAGTCGACGACTGCTGGTGCGCGCGGGACCGCCGTGGCCCCGCCCGCTGGATCGGTGTTGCGAGGGTCTGTCGGCCTCATGCCGTTGGCCGACGGCTCTTGGGTGACGATCCGCTCGATCTCGGGATCGGCCAAGGAGTGCGCTGGGCGAGAGGCCGCGTCGGACGCTCGTCTGATGGGGATCCTGCCGAACCCTGCCGTTCCAGGCGGGAGGTTGCTGCGGCAGTGGCGCGACGCCGTCGCCAGCTTCACCGAGGAGGCGTTCGTGGACTGGCACATCCCCGGTCCGCGGGCTTGCCAGTGGTGCTGCAAGTTCATCGACCGTCGGCAGGGGGGGCCGCTGGACCACTTCAGGTTCTGGAAGGCGACCCTCGGGCTGGCGGCCGACGACTACGGCGTGAACGACTACGAGGCCGGGATGCGCGCGATCTACACGATGGCGTGCTGGGACGGCTTGGACCTGCCAAACATCGCGGGCGCCGAGCAGATCCTTCGGAAGTGTCAGATGTACGAGTACGTCTACGTGATGGACCGGGACCCCCACCACGGAGGCCACGGCGCCGGTGACGGCGGCGAGTCGGGTGAGAACAAGAAGACTGGCAAGAAGGGCCGTGGCCGTGGGGGCGGTAGTCACAGCTTGCTGAGTTTCGGGTTCATCGACGAGAGCGCTGTCTTCACTGGTCTCAGCCGAGACCACGGGGAGAGCATGATCTGTCCTCTGCTCCTGGAGCATGTGGCGAAGGAGGTGGAGAGGGACGCTTCGGTGTTGAAGCAAGTACGCAAGGCCCGCGAAGAGCAGCGGGCCTTGCGAAAATGACGGGCGTACTACCACGCGGGCCGCTTCCCCCCGGCGGTCCGCGCGTTTCTGGAGGGGGGCCCAGCGGTGGTGGCCCGCCATTCGCTGGAGATGAGCACTTCAAGGGCATGCCTTGTGGGCGCCAACGTGATCTATTTCCACTGCCACGTCCTGATCAACAGCGTCAGGTCCGTTCAGAGGCGAACAGCTTCGCTTGCACACGTTCTGTGGTCCGTCGTGGACTTCGTCGGGGTCATGCCGATGCCATGGTGAGCGAGGTGGTGAATACCCTCAACGAGCTGTACGTCGGCCAGCCCTGTCGCCACGGCGACCACTCGCAGGCTGTCTCCGCGGGTCAGCAGCGGGCCTTGGACAACGTTCGAGATGCTGTCCGACGGTTCGGTAAGCCCCCGGAGGGATTGACTGGCTCAGGAGCCCTTGAGGAGCTCCGAGTTCTCAGCGACTACGCCGGCGAGAGTGCCACGCTCGCTCCGTTCAGCTTTGATAACATCAACAGCCTCTCGCTCCCGGACGAGGGTTTCACGCCGGTGGCGCTGGACACGCTGGGGGGAGGAGCTGGCCGCACGATAGTTGAACGGCTTCATGATATGATGCTGTCCCAGTCCGAGGGTCGGGCTCGGATTGAGTCCGACGGTCCCCGGAAGCTCTACAGTGACCCGGCGCTCAGGAACCCCAAGCTGTACATCCAGCTGCTGCGGGTCCTCGAGCGCCGGAACCTCATCGACTACTACGCTGACAAGGCGCGCAGCGTGGGTGTGTTCTTCGTTTATAAGAAGTCGGGGAAGCTGCGGCTCATCCTGGACGGCAGGCATGCGTCCCTGCACTTCCGGGCCCCCGACAAGGTGGCCCTCGCGTCTGGCGCCAGCTTCGCTGGCCTTCACGTGGACAGCGGGAAGCCCATCGCCGTGGCCGAGGTGGGCCTGGCCGACGCCTTCTACACGATGCTGCTGCCGCCGGAGTTCCGACGGTACTTTGCGCTGCCGAGCTGCCGCGCGGGCCTGCTGGGGCTTGACTGCACCTCGGACGGGCGCCCTCTCAGCGGGACGGACCTGGTCTACCCCTGCTTCCGGTGCCCGCCGATGGGCTGCTCCTTCAGCCTCTGGATCTGCCAGACGATGTTGGAGGCGACCGCGTTGCAGGTGCCCCAGCTGACCGTGGCCAACCGCTTCGTGGACAGGCGTCCTGTGCCGGGTGTCACCAGCGACGTGATCCACACCGAGTACGTGGACAACGCGCTGAGCCTCTCGACCGACCCGTCGGTGGCGTCCGCGGCTGCCGCTGCGGTCGATTCTCGGCTCCGAGCGGCTGGCCTACCAACCCACGGGGTCGAGTGCAGTTTCGGCGCTGCCGCGCTGGGCTGGCAGTTCGACGAGAAGTTCCCGATCATCGGACTGAACCCGGCGCTGCGGTGGAAGCTACGGCTGGCCTGCCTGGAGCTGTGCCGGAAGGGCTTTGCTTCGGGCAAGACGGTCTCGCGCGTGGTCTCACACTTTACATCGAAGGCGCTGATCCGGCGCGAGCTTCTGTCCTGTCTCAACTCGCTGTACGCTTTTTCTGCCCAGTATGGTGGCCGAACTGCTCGGCTCTGGCCTTCTTGCCTGCGCGAGCTCCGCTGGTGCGCCAGTCTGGTCGTGTTCTGCTTCCGAGACGCGGGTGCCGCGTTTGACAGCAGGCTCACGATGGTCGACGCATCGTGGTGGGGCGTAGGGGTCACTCAGAAAACATCGTCGTCAGCTGTTGCGCTGGAGTTATCACGGTACAACGAGAGGTGGAGATTCAGCAAGACTCAGGAGGGTGGCGTCTCACATCGGTCCCTCGCCCTAAAGGCTCAGAGCCCTGGAGACCCCTTCGTGCCCGAGTCGGTCGCAACCTTCGAGAATCCAGGGGGCTTCCAGGAGGTGATCACGGACTTGGAGGAGGATGGGGAGTTCGTCGTGTCGGGCTCCGCGTTCGAGGTGGAGGAGGTGACCCAGGTGGAGAATGAGGAGTTCCCGGAGATCCCAAAGGCCGTCTGGGCGGAGGGGTGGTACCCGGTCGTGTCGCACAGATGGTGTCGTTCGGAACCTCAAGTCGTTCTCGAAGGTCGCGGGATGGTGGTGGCTGTTCGGCATATCCTTCGGCGTCTCCCATCCTTCAACCGGTGCCATCTGTGCTTGGGCGACTGTTTGGGAACGATCCTGGCTGCCACCAAGGGGCGGTCTTCGCGCCCAGAGATGGGGCGCATCTGCCGGCAGCTGGCGGCCCTTTCGCTAGCTAGCGGCACTGCCTTCTTTTGGCGCTGGGTACCTTCCGAGCGGAACTCCGCGGACCGCGCCTCCAGGAACCTGCCAGGCGTGGGCTATGCTTCGTCGACAACAGATACCTGCTGCCCCAGTGCCAGTGGTGGTAGCCACGACGCCCGCTCCGACGTCGGGCGGCCTCCTGGCGCGAGGCGGCCTGTCTTCGGGCCCCCGCCTGGCCTCGAGCAAGAGGCGAGCTGGGACCCCCGCGGGGCGGACCACTTCCTCGGCAGCGGCTTCGACATTGGGGCTGGCCCTGGCGGCGGAGCCACTGGAGCGGACGGCCCGTGCGAAGCGTCGGCGGACCAGGCACCCAGAGGGCGTCCACTGGCGGGGGCCCGGACAGCGGTCGTTCCTGGAGCGGAAGGCCGTGGGCAACAGGACGACGCTGGACTACCAGGCCCGATACCACCGTTTCCTGACCTGGGCCGAGGCTGCGAGGCTCCCAGTGTCCACCATCCCAGAGCTGGAGGAGACGCTCCTGGAATACTTCAACGAGTTGTACTTCGAGGGCCACGACTCGCCGGACGGGTCGAAGCTGGCTGCCGCCGTGACCCACTTCCGGCTGGACCTGCTGCCGAAGCTGATCAACATGCCGCGCGTGCAGCGGGCGCTGAAGGGCTGGAAGTCCATGGCGCCCCCCCGGGCTCGCCTGCCCCTGCCCTGGCCGGTGGTGGCGTGGATGGCGGACTGGATGGTGACGAACGGGTTCGAGGCGGCGGCGACGGCATCCGTGCTGGCCTTCATCCTCTACCTGCGCCCCTCCGAGCTGCTGTCCCTGCGCGTGATCTCGGTCGTGCGGCCGGTGAAGAGCGGGCCCCGGCACCTGAGCAAGTACTCCATCCTCTTGTTCCCCGCCGAGCTCGAGGCGAGGTCGAAGACAAAGGACTACGACATCAGCCTGCTGCTGGACAACCCAGAGTTCGGCTGGATGGAGCAGGTGCTGGACCGACTGGTGCTGGGCCGACACCCAGAGCAGCCACTGTTCGCGCTGAGCATGAAGTCATGGACCCGAGCGTTCAGCCTCGCGTCCGCCGCCCTGGACCTGGAGATCCTGGGCCCCCCGGTGCTGTACCAACTGCGTCACGGCGGTGCCGGCCACGAGATGCTAACCAACGCTCGGGAGTTCGGGGACATCAAGAAAAGGGGGCGGTGGGAGTCCGACCGGAGTCTCAAACGTTATGCAAAGGGAGGCCGAGTCCAAGAGCAGCTCCAGCGTCTACGACCGGTGCAGCAAGCTCAGGCCCTCGGCTGCGCCGCGACTATTGGCAGCACCCTATGCAGAACTTGAGCTCGTGGGCCCACACCGCGAAGTCGAAGGTGTACCTGGAGATCTTCAGTGGCTCCGGGAACTGGTCGCGTGCCATGCGACACGGCCAGGCCTCTCGGCTGGCCCCACGTGTCTTCGAGCTGGACATGGAGCACGAGCCCGCCCTGGGCGACCTCTCCAGGCGCAGCGTGCAACGTGTTGTTCGGGGTTGGCTTCGTGGGCAGCTGCTCCAGGGTGTCTGGCTGGGTATGCCCTGCAGTTCCTGGTCCATGGCGCGGAACAGGCCCAACGGCCCCCCGGCCTTGCGTGATGGGAAACATCTGCTGGGACTCCCTGGCCTCTCGTCAGGCGACTCGCTCAAGGTGATGCTGGGGAACAGGCTCGCGTGCTTCTCCTTCAGCTTCTTCCTGGAGTGCACCCTGCGTGGAGTCCCAGCGGCAATCGAGAACCCGGCCACCTCGTGGGTGTGGCAGACCAAGTGGGCGGTACATGCCGCCAAGCAGACCAACGTGAAG